CAAATTCGAACATCTGGGTTGTGCTGTTCTGTTGTAAATAAATCTTAACCAATGATTCCTCATTGCATGTACTTTCGGAAGGTCAAATAAAGTGCTTTTGCTTTTGCACAGAAACGGCATCAACACTACTGTGGTTCCTGAAACCACGCCGCCTTTCTTTGCATGGACATTTGGGCGGCATTACGCAAATATTTCCACATCGTGACGTAGACATGTTGGAGGCGTGTTTGAATGAGGCGTTTTAGCCCGGTCTGGATCAGCCTTCTCTTTTAGATAGAATAAATCCTTTTGTGGGAGACTTTGAGCTTTGTAACTCTGCAGATCTTATACATGCACAAATAGCTACATAACACACTAAAGAAAAGGAAGAATAGAAATCGCATCATATGACCCCTTTAAGCTGTTAACCTGCTCCTCCCATTTTGGGACTCACAGCTGAAAATTACCTACCTAACTTAAAATGGTAACAGTTCCTGACAACAGTGTGTTACACACACAATTTAGGTATCTTTGGAAAGAAGACACTTTAGGCTTTACTATCCATCATGAGTTGATAATGCTCAAACAGATAAAAAGTTATAGACAGTGAAGTGCCTTGAAAAAAATTGTAGCACACTGAATGTTTTTTTTTTATTTCATATACAAATACACATGTCTCATGAGAATATATTTCGAATTTGAAGAAGATACCATGAAAAATGAGATTCCTGCAGCTATTTTTCTGAGACTATGTCTGGTCCCCCACCCCCTGTTTGAGGAAAAATAGCCACCAAATGTAAGGGTTCTACAAACTATTTTAGTCATTATACATACCACTGCATACTTTTTCAATTATAAAATAATAGACTGAATCTTAGACATCATATAAGTGATTTATTTGTGCACTAGAAAAATACAATAAGAATAATTTGAGTAATAAAAATAAAAAAAAAAAAGAAGAGAAAGAAAAAAAGAATTAGCTTTGTATGTCAAGTACATACTCTGATTGCCAGACATACAGCATTCACACTGATTGCTGGTCATACAATCAGTAATCACATGCTGATGGCCGATCATACAGATGGTAATCATACAGAAGGCCTTAAATGTCTTTGTATGCCAAGTACATACTCTGATTGCCAGACATACAGCATTCACACTGATTGCTGGTCATACAATCAGTAATCACATGCTGATGGCCGATCATACAGATGGTAATCATACAGAAGGCCTGCCATATAGTCAATAGTCACTCTTATGGCCGTTCATATAGACAGCATTCACACTGATAGCTGGTCATACAGTCAGTAATCACACGATGATGTGCAGTCATTACGGATGGAAATCATACAGATACAGCCACATTCCCCACAAAACACAAACACACACATACAGTGGGTACGGAAAGTATTCAGACCCCCTTAAATTTTTCACTCTTTGTTATATTGCAG